TAATTCTACGGTTCATCGACAAGTAGATGTTCATCGAAAATTATGTAGTTGCCGTGAAAAGTGTTGCTTAATCTTGTGTATGTTTCCGTCCACTTAAAATTAATTAGAGAAATATATCAGAGGGGAACTAAGCTTGATGGGTGTCCTTTTTAACTTTAGTACACGTCACATATCTTGTCCAGTTCCTTCAAAACGCTGCCTCCCTTTTAAACGCAGTTGTGCCATCTTAAATATTCTATACCAACCATGATTAAAAATTATATGACTTGGCAGTTTCCATTTTTACCTCTAAGTTTATAAAGTTATTACTTTACTTAGCAAGAAAGAGAAATATAAAAGTACACTTTAATTGAAAATGTAATGACGTTTTAATTTTGCACTCTTGCACTTGACGCCGTACATCTAACCATACATCTAATTTTCTTTATGTTGGAATAGTTATGGCCTGCTTTCATTTGCCATATGTGTCAAGCAGTTTCCCACAGGGTATATTGATCTTTCGGGTTGTGTAAATGTTTGAACAGATGGAACCTTTTGAATATAATCTTAAAATTCTTCAAGTTTGAAATATTTGCTTATGGTGGTGCACATCTTGTGTATAGGAAGCAAAGTTTACCTCAGGTTGCCACTGAGATTATGCAGGCCGTATGTGCTGTAGGACTACGCAATTTAAACCTGGGCAACGTAAGTTTTGGGGAATTTTTGCTTGCGTAATCTAAACTTGCAAAAAGGCTAAAATTTGTCTTACGCGATATTTTATGTTTTATTTTTGAACGATTTTTAATTTATTTATCCTTCTCCTGGTGCACCGACGCCAAAGAATTGCGGAAAAGAATAAATTAATCTATTCAATATAAAAGAAACGGATGGTCATAAACATCGGGTGGCGATCTTCGTATCTCGGCTTTCGATCGGGGTTGTAAATAAGGATTCGCTTCCACTGGAAAGTGATTGAATGCTGTTGACAACTATGCTTGTTTTGGTTGGTACAAGCACTCTTGTCTCCCTCCTTTTCAAGGATTAGTTGAGCGCACGCGATAAAGGGACGTACAGATGCTGCACTAAGCATTTTTCAGTTAGGTTTTAAGGAAGTGAGGTTGCCCTAGAAAAATCTCGAGAGTTTTAAATTTTACTTACGGTGCTACATATTGGTGTTATTTTTTCCGTTACAGTTAACTCAATCCAGAATATACTACAAGTAAAGTTATAAGAAATTAAATGCTTACCAAATATAAAAGCGCTGCTCAGAATTATCGCGGTCGAAAAAATAATCAACAGTGAGGCCATTTTAGATCAAAGTGCTAGTTGTTAACTTCCCCAGCTTTGGTTGTTCGTGATCAGTGCTTCCTGAGCTCCAAAGTAGAGTAAACTCAATTGCGCAACTCAACTTTTTCCGAAAGCCAATTTCTTATGTGCTCCTTTTAATGCGCAAAAGCCCTTTTAACGGTTAACTTTTCTGATTTGCATTACAATAAATCCAACATATATGTGAGGCAATTTCGCTCAATTTTGTTGCTTTGCCCGAAATTGCCTTGCAATTAGCTTTGAATCAAGAATAAACATTCTGATGTCAACATTTCTGGAAAAGAAGGAAAAGATATTTCCTTACAGATTTCCTTAGAATTCGCCTTTGCGTACAGAAAAGCGAACACATTTCTAAAGATCTTTAAACTTCATGGTAAATAGTAACACAGGAACCACTTTTTGTATGTTCCTAATACAAAATCGTCGCAACAGCGCTTTGTGCGTGCCTGACATCTCTCCTCTGGCGTAGCCAAAATACAGTCTAAATAGCTTTTTCTCACAACTAGAAACTAATCACGTGTCGAATAGGCATATTGATCTTTCGGGTTATGCAAGTGGTTGAACAGATGGAACCTTTGAATATAATCTTAAGTTAATTCATCAAGTTTAAAATATTTGCTTATGGCGTAAAGATCTTGTATATAGCAAGCAAAGTTTACGTTAGGGTGCCACTGAGATTATGCAGGCCGTATGTACTGTAGGATTACGCAATTTAAACATGGACAACGTATGTTTTTTGGGATTTTTGATTGCGTAAGCTATCCAAACTTGCAAAAAGGCTAAAATTAGTCCAAAACGATGTCTTATGTTTTATTTTTGAAGGAATTTTGTTCTGCTGGTGTA